GGAGGGAATGGAGATTTTACAGTATCCTTCCCATTCCACGCCCACCAAGCCACGCCCACAGAACTGGTAGTAAAAAATTGCAATGCACTAAACAAAATCTGTACCAAATGATATAAAAGTATTCCTATAGAGTGGCGAAAGACCTCTTGTCTGTGTCCTTAACTTGCTAGTTAAGAACACAGACAAACTGCTACTCTTTGGCAAATTTTGTCATTTTATCCTATAGACCAGCCTTTCTCATTTCGACAGCTTGAAAATATATGGACTTCAACTCCCAGCATTCTGGCTGTGGAATTCTGGGAGTTGAAGTCTACACACCTTAAAAGTTGCAAAGGTTGAAATATACTGCTTCAGACAGTGGGAAAGCTCCTTGGCAGAGCAGGGCTAAGATGCCCAACTGAGTGTCCTCACAGCATATTGATGATACTTAACCCCATGCTGATGCCGTTGGCAGGGGAATTCTGGGAGTTGAAGTCCATACATCTAGCCACCAAGGCTGAGAATCACTGGCCTAGAGCATATATTTCAGAGGAAACCATCTCCAATGAGCTCAAAGTGACAGCCTTTAACCCCTTGCATTGGGGTTATGCCCCATTGATACAACAGGAATTCCTTCACCTCTTCAAGCTATCATGGTTGAGAAACACTGATATAAACTATGGACTATTGATGTCAATGGTGATGCTCATGCTTGTCCCAAAGGTGCTTTTCGAAGAAGCAACTGGACTTTCTGGTTTTACTTTGAAGACCTTTTGCTTCTCATCCAAGAAGCTTCTTCAGCTCTGATTGGACGTGGGGAATAGAAGGATTTCTATTCCTTGCAGACCGCTGGTCATTTGCATCCTTTTAGAGAGTCCTTGAGGCCACTGGAAGTTTATCTGTGTCCTCAGGGTCACCTGAATAGTGCAAGCCATTCCTTCTTGAAACTGTTGAAAGGTGTTGACTGTGTTGTAGATTGGAGATAGATGATGTCGTATCCTTCCCCCTGTTTGAGAGAGGGCTATTAAATTTTAACATAGATGGCTTCTTTGACCCCTCTTTAAAAAAACAGAGGTCCTCTCTATCCAAAATGTGGAGTTTTCTATCCAAAATGTGGAATTTTCTATCTTCAAAAGAGTGGCCTTTGTCTTTTAAATGCAGATGGACTGCCGAATCTTGTCTTGATTGGTTTGTTATCCTATGTTGTGCCATGCATTTATAAATATTGATCTAAAGCCACTCAGTTCTTTAGAGATTGGAAATGTTATTTCGCCTGTGATGGACATCATCTAGCTATTAATATCCAAAGGAGATACCTAATGCTGATCAGAATGAGAGCCAACAGCAGTGACACTGATAGGCCTAAACGTTCCGCTAAACTTCAGTGCTCCTCATCATATGGAGGATCTCCAAGGGTCCATTAATGGGGCAGCAGCAAACAAGCCACGCATCTTTGCCCAATGTAGGCATATTCCCAGTCAGGAATTTAATTTGTGGAAGTCTAATACAGTAGATCTTGGTACTCATAGTTAATTTGTTCCGGGAAGCATGATGAGTACTAAGCAAATTTTCCCAAAAGGAATAATGTAATGAATCTCAAGACATCCGTCACCAACAAGTTCTAGCTTGTGCATTGAGCACCAAATAAATGATGGGTACCAGGAAAAAATTTTCACATCAAAATAAACTGAGTTGCAAATTCAATGAGTTTCAAAGCAGTTGAGTACCAAGGTATCACTGCACATAGTAAAGGTAAAGGTTCCCCTCGCACATATGTGCTAGTTGTTCCCAACTCTAGGGCTGTGCTCTCCATCTAAAAGTCGAAGAACCAGCACTGTCCGAAGACGTCTCCGTGGTCATGTGGCCGGCATGACTAAACNTGGCAAGCCACTCCCACCCAGTCACATGGCCAGCAAGCCACTCCCACAAAGCAAGCCACACCTACAGAAGAGGTTCTAAAAAATTTTGAAACCCAACACTGAACTGAACCCCGAAGGATGTTCCTTCCAACACATAAGTTCCCTTGAACTATTGATACAGGATCATCTGCTAAGAAAAGGGTTAATTTACTGAAGGAAACCTCAGTGCTGGGTAAGAACTACCCAGGTTTCAGTTAGAGTCTTGGAAACTAAGAGGAATTTCCAAGAGTTAATTATGGCAGAGTCTCTTGGGATATTTCAAAATGCTTCTTTCCTGTTTCTGGCCACTTAGGCTGAATTGCCATTCATGAGATAACCTGCCAACGGTTTTGCATTTTCTCTCTCTCGATTGTTCATGTCAGGGTTCTGCTTCATTCTTCTTCCAGCTTCCTCAGAGTCTCTCCAATCCGGAAGACACAAAATACACTCAAAACTGCACCTCAGTTTTAAAAAAAGGAAAGGAGTGATTCCAACCAAGCCTTATCTACATATGTCTGGTGGGTCCCTCTACATCACTGTCCACACACACACACACACACACACACACACACACACATCACACACACACACACACACACACACAGTCACACCCCCACACACGTCTCCTAAAATACAAAGGGTAGCCCGCAGTCACCAAAAGATCGTCCCAGCTCCATCTAAATCATCCAGTTGTAAAAGGGGAACCATTTTCACTTCCTGGCATTGTTGTACAGGATTCCCAGGGAGGAATTCATGACGCTGTAGGTTGTGTGTGTGACATTAAGGCATGAAGCTTGTGAATAGCAAGGAAAACATGAATTGCTTCCACAGTTGTTTTCCTTTCCAACTGCAAGCATTGATTACAGTTACTAGGCGTTATTTTTAATTCATATTATACTTAAGGTACAGGGGGAAGGAGGGATTGGGGGGGGAGTGTAAATCACAGCCAGGAAAAGGGTGAAGGGGGATAAAAAAAAACCTTGTCGGAGCTGAGGCATTTGGCAGCAGAATGCAACTGCGAATTCTACCACGCGAGCTATTTTTTCTCATTAACACATCACATCATTTGGAGCTCTTCCAATCCTGCTTCTGTTGCTGTGGGATCCTCCCTTGATCGTGTTCTTGGTCTGCCCTTCATTTTCCCCTCTCTGAGGTAAGTTACTGCCACACAGGCGAAGGCTGACTTTAAGCTTTAATTTGGACAAGAAATGAAACCCGGTTAGATACAATGATCAGCCAAGGGGATTGACTAGGACTGGGATGGCGAACCTATGGCACGCGTGCCCGAAGTGGCACACAGTGTCATGTCACCTGGCATGCGTGGCATCGCCTGTTCCTCTTCCGGGTTTCTGGCACGTCAGTGCATGTGACAATCAGGTGGCCTTTGTCCATGCGGCAGTGCCGGAAACTGGAACAGCTGGTCTTCCATTTTCTGGTGTGAGCATATGCGCTGGCCAGTTGATTGGTGTGTGCGCATGCGCAGCAGTAACCGTAAATACATTTCTGGAAAACCAAAGTACTCCTCTTCCTGGTCACGGCCCAGACGACGAAAATTCCTCCCTTTTCAGCACTCAGTGCTGAAACAGCAATAGCAGTTAGACTTATATACCGCTTCATAGGGCTTTCAGCCCTCTCTAAGCGGTTTACAGAGTCAGCATATTGCCCCCAACAACAACCTGNGCAGCTGGAGCATCGCACAGATGCTAGTACGCATGCGTGCACTGTGCGCGTGCACGAGGCCGCCGCCGGCCCCGTTCCAACCGAACCGGTTGGAATGGGGTGAGAAACCCACCCCTGGTGAGGAGGTTGGGGAGGAACATGGGCCAGTCCTAGGGGCTGAGGAAAACTCAGACAAGGACTCTGCATCGGAGGCAGAGAGGAAGTTAGACAGCAGTGAGGCCGAGGAACAACAGGAGCCTGTTCCCAGTGTGCACATGTGCAGAGCTACCAGAAGACAAGAACAACTAAGAAAGCAGGGTCGACATGGGAGTAAAGCCACACCTTGGAGGTGATTGGCCCCTCCCATAGGAAATTAAAAAGGAGTGAACGGGGAGGGGGCTTATGCAGGAAACCATTCATTTGGTCGCTTCAAGAGTGGAAAGTTCTGTTTGTGACTATAAGAGACTCTGGGCCAAGTTTTGCCTTGCCCTGCATTTGGAACCTAGTCATCTGACCGCTCACCAAGCAAGATAAGGTTTGTGTTGATAAATATTCCTCTGGAAGACTGTTTGCCAAGCATTGCTGACTGTGAATGAAAGGAATTCACAGTTGTGTAAAAATAAAAGAGGTTTTGCTGGGACCAAGACTCTTTTGTGCTTTTTAAGAAAGCCTAGGTCAGAACAGTTGGTAAATGAATGCAGCGGTCAGTAAATGAATGCCATGTCGTTAAGTGAACCCAGTTCACTGTGGGCATTCCCCCCGCCCCCAGAAACCAGAAGTGAATGGCAGTAGGAGCTGTGGTGGCGCAGTGGCTAGAATGCAGCATTGCAGGCTAATTCTGCTGACTGCCAGCAGTTCGATCCTGATGGGCTCAAGGTTGACTCAGTCTTCCATCCTTCCGAGGTTGGTAAAATGATGCTGACATTGTAAACTGCTTAGAAGAGTGCTGTGAAGTATTATGAAGCAGTGTATAAGTTTAAATGCTTATTGTTGTTCTGGCAAAAATATTGCAAATCTTGGTGATGTAGCTCTGGGATGCTGCAAAGGGTTGTAAATATGGGCCAATTGCCAAGCGCCCATAATAATCGGTCACATGAAAAGAAGAAAGCAAAACATAGAACATGGCCTTAGGGTTGGAAGGGACCTTGGAGGTCTCCTAGTCCAACCTGCTGCCTATGGCAGGAGATCCTCTACCCGTGATGGCGAACCTATAGCACACATCAGTGGTGGGTTTCAAAAAATTTTAGAACCTCTTCTGTAGGTGTGGACTGCTTTGTGGGAGTGGCTTGCCAGCCATGTGACTGGGTGGGAGTGGCTTACAAGCCATGTGACCGAGTGGGCATGGCCAACTTGTAAAATGTGGTGAAACTCACAACTCTCTTGCTTAGCAACCAAAATGTTGGCTCAGAAACTCTGGCATTTGAAGCATGCGAGTCTTAAAGCTGTCAAGTTACAAGNGCACTCCCCGGGCAGATGCAGGCCATCAAGTGTGTGGTGGTGGGAGACGGGTGAGCGCCGGCGGGGACGGGGAGGGCGGGGTGGGGGTGGGGGGCAAGGCTTGGGCGCTCGGCCCAAGTGGCAGCCCATGTGCTTGGCGTGCCCGCTGGGCGAGGAGCTAAAAGGTGGGGCTGGGCGAGGGAGCGGGGAGGCTACCGCCTCTTTCCCCCGAGGAGGAGGGGGCGGGGTGGAGTGGGGGAGGAAGGTCGCATTCATCCTTCCCTTCGGGTCGGGAGCAAGCGGGGAGGCGAGGTGGAGCTGGAAGCACTGGGCACACACGCCCATCCATCTCCACCTATTGTGGCAAAAGCCAGCCCTTGCTGAAGTCTTTGCCTTGCTCGCGACGGACGGCTTGTTCTCCATTCTTCTGTTGCTCAGCTCTTGCCGCCACCCCTCCCCCACTCTGCTGCAATCTCAAGGGAGGTCCCCCCCCCCACACATACAAAATCTGTTTCGCTGGTTCCCCCTTAGCCTGTGGTTTGATAAGACTGCTTTCTCAAGCAGCAGCTGCTTGATCCCTGGTCCTTCACTCTGTTCTCTGGCCAAGGAGCACTTGAACCCTTGTCCTCAAAGGCCTCTGCCATTGTACCGAAAAGTGTAGGTGCCTCTTTGAAGTGGAATGATGATTCATGGTGCATCCTGTCCACCTTGCTTCCAGACTGAGGGGGGGGGAGAGAAAGAAAAGCCAATTGAAAATAACTAGGAGCAGGACTGGCAGAACTCCATCCAGTGCCCACCCCAGTGATTCCAAGTTCTGGCTCTCTTACCTTCTGTGGGTGGGAGAATCAAATGGACCACAAGGGGAAGGATGGGTGAAAAGGATTTACGAGGCTGATATGGGTAATTAGTAGATAATAGAGCTTTAAAGTAGACTACTACATAACAGAGATTGGCGGGGGCATCTTGAAGCATTAAAAGCTTTTTTTTTTAGGGAGGGTTGGGGATCATTTTGTGAAGGGCCCCTCTGCGATATCAACAAAATACAGCAGGTTGGTCAGTAGAGCTACTGGAACGCTGGACTTGAAGCCTCGTGGATTCCTGTATCCAGAGACCATCCTTCTACTAGACAGAATGAAGCAGCTATTTTGCGGCATAGTGAAAGGCAGCAAATCGTATCTTAATTTAGTATTGTGCTTTCCTGCTAGGGCAGGGGAGGGACTTGTGGAAGTTTCCACCTGTGGTTCCAGAATAATGTGAACAGATTTTGGACTGGCTGTACAGCATAACTTTGCAACATGTGTTTGGAGGGAGGGGGAATTGCCATGTGCTGCTGAGTTTTGAGCTTTCGATCCTTGCTGATTAAGCTTAGAGGAGTCACTGCCATGATTCATGCATCATGCTAAGCAATGACCTGCTTAATCATGGTTTGTTGTTGGATTGTGCTGTTGGTGGTTGGATGATGCTTAGTTATGGTTTATTTGATAAGTCATTGGTTATGACCTCATAGGATACATTAAATGAAAGCCAAGCAGTCACAGGTAAGCTTGACTGCTTTGTCTCTGTGTGGTGGAATTCTATACCATGGGCTTATTTTGGGGAAGGAAAGAACTTACAGCTTCGATTTTTGCTGTTAGGATGCAGTAGGTCCGTGATGGCGAACCTATGGCATGCGTGCCAGAGGTGGCATGCAGAGCTCTCACTGTGGGCACACATGCTATCACCAGCTGCTCTTCTGGTTTCTGGCACACACATGCGCACTGGCCAGCTGGTCTTTGTGGGTGCCAGAGTGCCCAAAAACGACAAAGAAACAGGCTGTTTTACGGGGCATTTTCTGGGGTGTTTTTTTTCTGGGCATTTTTCAGGCCAGTTTTCAGGGCATTTTTGGGGGCCAAAAAAACAACCTGAAAATGGGCCAAAAAACAGGAATACGTGTGCCAGTTAGCTGGTCTTCGGGTTTCCGGCGCTCCAGCGCATTCGCACACACATTCCAGTTTGGGCACTCGGTGCCGAAAAGGTTCGCCATCACTGCAGTAGGTGATAAAGCTGTGAACTGTTGCTCAATTTTCATCTGAGTTCAACATCTTATCTATCTACCCATCTAATTTATGACAGGCACCTGTTCTCATTGCACTGTAGTTCAGGCACACCACTCTGATATGAAATTATCTAAGTTGTTTCATTCAGAAGTTTAGGAGTATACACAGAGCTCCCTCCTCCCATTTTCCATCACTATAATTACCCTGTAGGAAAAACTGAGCCGAGAGAGACTACCTGGGCCAAAACCACTAAGGGAGCATTTGTGACTGGGCATGGTGGGCTTGAATTAGGGTTAGCCCACTGTCTAACTACTGCCCTAACCACTGCCTTGCACTGGTATGTAATATATGAGAATGTATGAATATTATTTTGAATACTCAGACACACACTATAATTGGCCACACAAGAGAAAGTCCTCTGAATTATAATTCAGATCCTTAATCTCAAAAACATATCCCTGGTTCAAAATCAGAAGTGAGAGCAAAATTAAGTATTATTCCTTATATTTTGGTTTGCTAAAAATGCTAGTGCTGATCTCAAGACAGTCTGTAGAAGCAGCATTAATTGCTAGGGGAAGGGGGAGTGTTGAAAGATAAATAGCAGGGAGTAATACGTTTGCCACCTTCTGAATAGCTATTACAGAGACATTCTTATCCTAAGTAGGGTGTTCCAGCACTGTTTTCCTGCCAAAAAGCACTCGTATTTGCAGCATGTGGCTGACATTATCTTTGGGCCAAAAGTATGGATTTCTACCAGTTTAATTATTGACTTTTCCAAGACAAAGTAAGAAGAGTTCTTGAGCTTGCAGAAGATAATGTTACTAGCTGGTCTGCAGTGTAAGGTGAAATAATGTCAACATTAAGGTGTTATTGGGTTAATAATTCAGAATTTGAATGTGTTACATTTTATTCCTCTATTTTTTAATCTGATTGTGGTAATTAATTAGATTGGTAATTTAAATACCAATAATTAATAATTTAAATTATGAGTATGTTGGAAAGAATCTTTGCAAAATATACCTTTTCATCCATTACCAAAAATTGCATTATTTGGAACATATATATTATAGCAATATCTTTAGCTGTCAAGAGTTTTGGGAAGGAATCAGTAGTAAAGTATGCCACATTCAGTCCATCTGATGACAATGTGATAATGATGATATTTAGATGTGCTTTCCATGTATGGAATGCAAAGAAACCTGGGTTAGTAACCTGAAGTTTAGGGCTATAGAGGGTATCTGTTTCTCCTCCAAACTCTGGGATTTATTATCTTACTGTATTTATTGTGCTTAAAGGAGTGCTTTCTCCTTTCATTTTTTCAGGGCTGTGGGAAAGACCTGTCTGTTGATCAGTTACACAACAAATGCCTTCCCTGGAGAATACATCCCCACTGTGTGAGTACGAGTGGAAGAAAGCTTAGGTTCCAGGAGATATGATAAATGCAAAAGCATAGTGATTTGAACTGTTCCCATATTAGGGTTTTGAGATGCTGGTATTAGAAGAATTTGATACACCAAGGAGCCCTTCAAGCGTGACCAAGTTCTATACAGATAATAGTACGCTCAATCATGCATTAAAAGTTATGTGTAGAACTTAACTAAGCATGTACATTTACCAAGAAGTCAAGATTAGCCACTATTCCATAGTATATGTATGTGATGTGGTGGTTCAGTGGCTAAGATGCTGAGCTTGTTGATCAGAAAGTTTGGCAATTTGAATCTCTAGTAGCATGTAATGGAGTGAGCTCCCATTACTTGTCCCAGCTTCTGCCAACCTATCAGTTCGAAAGCACATAAAAAATACAAGTAGAAAAATAGGAACCACCCTTGGTGGGAAGGTAACAGCATTCCATGCACCTTCGACATTTAGTCATGCCGGCCACATGACCATGGAGACATCTTCGGACAGCACTGGTTCTTTGGCTTTGAAATGGAGATGAACACTGCCCCCTAGAGTCAGGAACAACTAGCACATATGTGCAAGGGGAACCTTTACCTTTATACCTAAAGTGCCTTGGGTAATCACTGCAGAAGATATTTGAGGATTGTACATTATTTTGTGTATGATCATGTACAGTGTGGAAATACTATGGTCTGAAATAACTCATGCTGGCAAAAGTAATTCCCAGGATTGTTCTCCAACAGTTTTACAAAATTAAACATTTACAAGATCCAGTTTATTTTCTTGCTTTAGCTTTGAAAATGATCTTTTCAAAGCCTATGCATCTCCACATATAAGTTATTGTATAACCTTTGGTGTGTAATATACAGATTAACTAAATTTGATTCCATTGTCACTCTTAAGGCACTTTTTCTGCAGTCATTTGAAAGTTGTCTTTTCACAGAGAATTTAATGTATCAGTGTATTACGCAGTACAATCTAATCCTGTTGCCAAGTAGTTTGTAAAATTTATCAGAGTTCCTCTTCAGTCCAACATTAAGTTTTCTGCTCAATGGTTCTGGTTTTCTATTTGTTCCACAGTGGGACTGCTGTTAATGGTCAATTATCGTCTCTGAAGAGATTATTTTTTAAGCACACGTAGTGCTAGTTTACTATAAAAAACAAAAAGTACAAAGGTAGAAAAGGGATTCAGAAAGCACCACCATGTAAGCGGCTTACATAATACAGAAGTGAAACCCATACTTTTAACTAGACCTCAATCTTAACTGCTTGTTGTTTGTACATAGATGTTGTGCTGGGAGTTTAATAAGCAAAAGTAATAAAATATGTTTTTATTAAAGTAGAATTTAGTGACTTTTACTAGTTGAGAAAAGAGAATTTGAGTTATCTTGAGACTGTATTCATCTAACTAAACCACTGCTAACAAGACCTTTTCCCCTAGCTTTGATAACTATTCTGCCAATGTCATGGTAGATGGAAAGCCCGTAAATCTGGGCCTTTGGGACACAGCAGGACAAGAAGACTATGACCGGTTGCGACCACTTTCCTATCCCCAGACGGTAAGTAAGGGGCTGCCACAAGGAAAAGGGAGTCAAGCTATTCTCCAAAGCACCTGAAGGCAGTACAAGAAGCAATGGGTGGAAACCAACCTAGAACTAAGGAGAAATTTCCTGACAAAACAATTCATCAGTGGAACGACTTGCCTTCAGAAGTTGCAGATGCTCCAACACTGGAAGCTTTTAAGAAGAGATTAGACAACTATTTGTTTGAAATGGTTAGGGTTTCCTATCTGAGCAGGGTTTTGGACTAGAAGGCCTCCAAGGTCTCTTCCAACTCTGTTATTTGGTTAAGTGCTGAAGTGGAGTTTAACTGAGTTCCTCCCTTTCCCAATAGGACCTATTGTGCAAACTCTACAATAAACCCATTCCATATTTCATAAGAACCAGACCTGAGTAATATCAGTTCCAGCCAATTAAATGTCAACATCACCTGACATATCAGTTTTATAAAACGGGGGATTTCAGTTTTTATGGACTGATGTTGGGTGTGGGAAACCAAGATTTGACTTGGCATGAAAGAAAACGTTTGCACCTTGACTGTTTCATATGAACACTGTTGCTTATATCCTTATAGGATGTTTTTCTC